AGCAAAAGCAGAGAAATTAAGGATGCAATCCTATTCACATTCACCCCTCAAAATCAACGAGAAGTTCCCATTCTGAGTACATCTAAAGAGGCATATTTCCCCAAAAGACTGCAGCAATATACATTTTTGGTTAATTTTGGCACAATCCAGCCAAAGTTTATGTATTAAAGCCCAGCTGATGCCATTTGGCCCATTTTGTTCATCCCCAATTTACTCAGTATATGTTCTAATTAATTGCTACAGGGTTAAAACCCTGCTGTGATCAATGGGGCTGTATTTTGTTCTGTCCTTGATGTGTCATGATACTTAATGGGTTTGCACTATAAGGAAGGAGCACTTCATGCAAAGTTATTGACCCTAATCATTTAATGTGGAGGCCGGACTTGGCGACAGTAGAGAAGGATCGCTTCCAAATGATGTGGGATGTTGGATGTCTTCACACAGAGGGTAGACAGCCATCTGGTCAGAATGCTTTAATTTGGATTCCTCTACCAAGAAGTTCAATTCCATAGTCCACATCTCTCCCTCCAACCCCGAGATTGTGTGAAGGTGGGGGGGGGGGGGGGGGGGGGAGATCAATAGATTACTCCATTTCCTTCCAAATCTTAGCTCAAACTCTTCTGTAGTTGTTTTTTTCTGAAACTTCAATACGGCCAAATTTGCTGAGAGGTCTTTCTTCCAAAATGTCTAGAGGCCGACATTAAAACGTTTAAAGCCTCATTTTCAGGAAATCGCTGTCTGGAAGTACTTTCTGAGAAGTGAATTACAGGCTGCTTTTCCGCTTTTCCCGCGTTTTCTCTCGCGGAGTTGCAGCGAATTCTTTCCCCCTCCTCCTGCTCTTTCTTGTTGAAACTTGCCGTTTTGTTCTCATCCCCCCAAATTAGCAGACGCGTTTGATATGCAAAGAACTTGGTAATACAGTGGACAGAGTTGGCACGCACAATCCTGTGAGCGTGGCCTCACCTTCAATGGGGCTCACAGTACAGTACTTCCATCCAGGCAGGCCTAGGGTTGCAGGGCAGTCCCTCCGGAATTACATAGCAGCTGCTTTGTTTCTGAGAGTGCCTTTAGGAAAAGAGCGCTCCCAGGGAGCAGCTGGATTCCTAGTTTGGCTGATTTTTGCTCCTAACGTACAGCTTTTTCCGCCCGCTTGCCTTAGCCGATAGCCAACGCCGATCAAATCCTAACCCACGAGGGATGCAGGCAGTTCCGCGGGCCGCTATTTCCCCCAGGAATCACGTGGCTAAGGCCGACGCCTGCGGCTCTTAGAGGACGCGGAACCAGTGCGACTGTGTACTGCTTCGGGTGAGGAATGAGGTGGTTTTCCTGTGTACTTGAATCCCTGGATTTTTATGAAAACAAACTGAAAGCCTTTCCTAAAAGATCACTTTCCCAAAGATTGCATCAGCTTCCCTCCTGTCTTAGACTCCAGGGCATCCAAACTGATTTTCGTTTATAGCAGCAAAAACTGTAAATACTGAATATTCAATGTAAAAGCAGATGCTGCCTTTGATCAAACGCAAAAGATACATGGTAACTGGCTGGGTGTGTCTACCTTTGAGATACTTGCCTCGTCCACTTCTAATTTCCAGGAATAAGGAATTTTTGTTGGTTTTTTTTTTAAAGTTGGACAAAGCCACCAGGATCAGTCTGAGAACAGCAGTTTCGGCAAGAGGTTTGGCCAGAAAGTGGTTAATGGAAGGCAAACAAGTAAATGAAATCCAGAGATCTTGAACAGGAAACAAAGGAGATGCCAAGTCAAGCCAGCAATCTGTAAGCACAGATTTCTCAAGGCCCTGAATAGCAAAATGGAAAAGCCATCTTGAGAGAAATATCAGCTATCCATCTAACCAAATGCTACCCCAGACATTTGAGATAAAGGGCATGTACTGAATGCATTGATGAGGTATCTTCTTCTAGGACAGCTTTCTAAAGACAGGGACTTTCTTTAAGGCAGGAAATTATTTCATAGCAAGCTTCTTTTCAAGGGTGTCTCTTGCCATGGGTCATGATGGCTAGGACTGACTGGTTGAAGTCCAGAACATTTGAAGGGCACCAATCTTCTTATCTCCACTTGAAAGTATTGTAGAAAAGAGGGAGAGCTGGTCTGATAAATCTATCCTTGTTCTCTTTTTTATTCACACACGGTCAGGCATTTATAAGCTGTGATGGCAGCAAATACCCCAAATAGGCAACCAGGATGATTTACTGCCTTTCTTACTAGAGCAGAAGTGCAGATTTCTCATCTTTATTAGCTTGTAATAAAGAGGTTCCAGAATGTTGCATGGGGTTAGGCTAGAAAAAGGGTTACATTTTTTCCCACTGACTCCCAAAAAGCACTTACACTGAAATATTAATTAATATGCCTGTTTAATTTATTGAGTAATGAATCAGTTAATGCATTTTTATTATGTTTTGACAGCTTTAATCTGATTGCAGCCAGAGTTTTCATTATAGCTGCTCCAGAAAGAGTAAAACCTGGACCTTAAGAAATCCAGTAGTAAATAAAATGATCAAAGGTGATGGGACACCTTCTCCACCATTCCTTTGTTGCTGTATGGCCTTTTAGGAACAAGTTCAAAACATCAGAGGGGTGAGTTGGCTGAAGAGATAGTAGAAATCTAGATACAGGCAAAGAATGGTACAACAGAATACAAAATCAGTGTAACAAATTTATACAGAAGTCCAACCACCCTTCAAGTCCCCTTCACATCTCTATGGATAAAAGTTTAAGATAAAGTAGGATATCAATAGAAGGGACCAGGTAAGCTTCACCACACCAGACTTAATTTAAATCTGAACCCCAGAATGTATTTTCAGTGCCAGGTCTTAGCTTAGCCCATGAGAACAAAGATGCCCGGAATATTTTTATATTGCCTTAGATTAGCAGAATCAACTGTGTGTCTGATCAAGGAGAAAGAATGGCTACTCAATAGATATGCATTGTACTTTGGCACCTCTTCTTTTAGAAAGAAAAGTAATTCTGAACTGTAGAATACTTTTCCATTAGGTTCCCTTCCCCTCCAAATTAATAAACCTTGAGCAAAGATCCAGCAGGGGATTTCTTAATTGGACAGCTGAGAGCTTTTAGTCATGCTGATCAGTCTCTAGATCAGGAATCACTAACCTCTGGGCTGGTGGGCACACTTGGAATTTTGAGAGCTGGGGGCAAAAAATACTATGTCCTTTCTTACCCATCCCCAAAGGCTCCTACAAAAGATTGTCTTTTTCTTGAGCAGCATTTCCAAACAGAGCAATGGACTGCAACTGCCCACCATTTTTATTTTGTATACTGATGGGAGAGGCATTCTTAGAAATTAAGATGATACTGGAGACTGGCAATTTAGTTTGCAAAATGTCAGCTGTCAATGTAATGATTAATTCTTAGTGACCACATAGATAGGTTTTCTCCGTGATGATCTGTCCTCAACCTAGTCGTTCAGCTCTTCCAACTGTGCACTCATTGCTACTGTAACTGAGCCTATCCACCCTTGCTGCTAGTTATCCTCTTCGTTTCTTTCCTTCGAATTAAAGTAACAGTAATTAAAACTAAAAAGAAAGTGTGGCAGTGCCATGGCCTGTGTCTGTAGTCACTTCGGGGCCCACAGTGCCATGATGGGGACTGCATCTCTGAGTGGAATCTTTAATCAGTTCTATTAATTATTAGTTGGGGGAGTTGCTCTCGGTTTCTTGCCATAATGCAGGGATAGGCAAATTTCAAGCTCACAGGAGCCTTGCTTTTCTTGGAACCCTTCACTGTATCATGAAAGAGCACCATGGATTCCCAGTGTGTGACTTTCTTTATGCATCTGAACTTGGAGGGAGCTCCCAGTTCCTCTCCATAAAGGTCATCCCTGGTCACCCAAAGCTTTCTTCACTTCAACTCTCTAACTTAGGGCAGGTAGGCAGAGAAACAACCACAGCAACAAAATGTCCAACAACTACGGCAGATGACCTCCCAGCAAATTTCCATTCTTATCTTGTGTCATAAAGGTAAAGGTGAAGTCTCCCTCAAGCTCCACTCCTGGTGAATCAGAGGGTTTTCTTATCAACATTACTGTACTGAAATTATTTGTTTTTGCTTTCCTCTAGGAAGTTTTTTGATGTTCCAGTCTAGCCTATACAGTAGTTTTGAAATATCCTGGGGGTCTCGTGTCCAAGTACTAACCAGGCCCAACCTTGCTTAGCTTCCCAAATAGAAGCTTAAATGAGCTTCCAGACCATTTAATGGATTTCTCAGGGTTGGAAAGACAAGGTGTCTGATCCAGTATGACTTCCTGACTTTGGGGTCCTGGGGGGGGTGTCCAATATATGTTATCTCAGGATGATGGGGAGAGTGGGACCACCATGGACAAACCTGTATTATGCTTGCTAAGTCTCACCTGTTCAACTTCTATGATTACACTTTCAGGAACCCAGATGGACAGCAGGGTGGATCTTGGGCAGCCCCCCTTTTCCCTTAGCTTAGGCAGGCAGCTGCTAATTTTACGCAGGCAGCCCCCTTTTACTCTTAGCTGATGCGTTGCGGGCGGGCGCAAGCAGACACTCTGCGCGAGTGCTGCGGCCATTTCAAGCCTCCGGGCGCCCCTTCTCTTTTCTTCGCCCCCTCCCCGCAGGTCTGGTTCAAGAACCGGCGCGCTAAGTGGCGGAAGCGGGAGCGCAACCAGCAGATGGACCTTTGCAAGAACGGCTACGTGCCGCAGTTCAGCGGTCTGATGCAGCCCTACGAGGACGTGTACCCGGGCTACCCGTCGAACTACTGGCACGCCAAGAGCCTGGCGCCTGCGCCGCTCTCCTCCAAGAGCTTCACCTTCTTCAACTCCATGAGCCCGCTGTCGTCGGCGCAGTCCATGTTCTCGGCGCCCAGCACGCTGCCCTCCATGAGCATGCCCTCCTCCATGGGCCACTCGGCCGTGCCCGGCGTGGCCAACTCCGGCCTCAACAACCTGAGCGGGTCGTCCCTCAACACGGCCATGTCCACTCCCGCCTGCCCGTACGGCCCGCCGGGCTCCCCCTACAGCGTCTACAGGGACACTTGCAACTCCAGCTTGGCCAGCCTGAGGCTGAAGTCCAAGCAGCACTCGAACTTCGGCTACGGCAGCCTGCAGAGCCCCGGCTCCACTCTAAACGCCTGCCAGTACAACAGCTGACCGGCCTCCTCCTCCTGAAAGGGACCGCGGCTGCGCTCAGGGGCAGGGAAACGCGCCGGAGGAGGAAGGGGAAGGACGGGCGGGCCGGCGGACGGAC